CATGACACAGCATGTAACAGCTCCTGTCAGTCCGACGGCAACAGCTCACACGGGGAGAAGCTGCATCACTTCAGGCCGTTTAAACCTTAAACATTTGTAAACTCCACTGAGTCTGGGACGTTAGTGAGAAAATGAAAAATGAAGCAGGTCAGGATTTTGGGTTAGGTTTAGGGTTAGGGTCAGGCACATGCATTCTGAGACTGAAGCTGTCAGAAGTAATACTCAAAACTTTGCTGTGGTTGACTTTAAACTTTTTTTATTTATTTATTTAACCTTTATTTAACTAGGAAACGGCTTGTTGAGAGTAAAACTCTCTTTTTACAGCAGTGTCCTGGCCAAGACAGACAGCAGCACAATTGACAGACCGACGAGGTCACAGCAGCATCCACACAGACATCAGACTCAGAATACATGGTGAGATTACATACTGAAGATAAGAAGTCAACATATCAGTACAGGTCAGAAACATAACTAGCTAAATAATCATCTGTCAAAACATCTACAGACTGATGTTTGTGCCTCCAAGTCGTTTGGGAACACTTTAAACGTGTTTAAAGACAGCGGCTCTTGAAGTTTCAGGTCTTTTGCAGTGTGTTCCAGGTGGAGGGAGCAGCGAGTTTAAAAGCTTTCTATCCCTGTTCGGTTCGAGCCTTAGGAACAGACAGTAGCAACAGATCCTGGGACCGCAGACTGGAGCCCCTTGGAGCTTTTGTACAAGCAAAATCCTGTAAATACAACAGATGTTTAGGTGTTCTGAGTGAAGACTTGTTCTCACAGGTCTAACCTGGAATCTTTCATTTACTACAGTCCGTGGCTTCAGCTGCATCCTGTTCACGTGACCTCCTCCTGAGAGAGAGATGGTCTAACAGACACACCTGAGCAGGTAAAGTCCACAGTCCACACTGCAGGTCAGGACACGAACTGAACCATGAAGTCAAGGAACATTCAGGGTGAAGCTATAGAACCATCTCTCAACCTCTGAGTGTTCAGCAAAACCTCAGTACCTGACAGACAGAGGAACTGCGGAGCCAGCAGGGCTCTTCACAGAACCTATCCAGGACTCCCTGACGGGTCACGGACAAGACCGAGAAGCCAACGGTTCTTCTAATTGCAACAGATTCCAGTTGCATCATGTGGAGAACCTTCACAGATGCTCCTCTTTCTGATGTCACATGACCAGGTCTGGAAATAAGCACACACTGCAGGGTTTCATTCAGATTGTGGAGGCAGAGCGAGCAGAGCACTGCTGACCTGCCTAGAGCCTGACCAAAATAAGTCCACAAACAAGACCAGAGCTAGGTGGGTGGTGTTTAAGCTGCTGCTGCAGCAGCATGTTGTCCAGCTGACGCCCTGTTGCTGTGACAGTGTGAGAACAGCAGCATGACTGCAGCTGTCTCTGTGACCTGCGACCTTTAACATGCGACACGCAGTCCTCAGCATGCAGGACAAACAGCAGCAGCAGTGCAGGATGAAGGGCTTCCTGCAGACTGAAATAACACGGAGGGGATTACTGCACTGAGGCACACAGGGAACCCTCCGTGGTCATAAGCACACGTATGTTCACATATAGCAGCAGCCAGCAGGACACACTGTGTTCCCGTCCCTGTGAGGACACTCTGTGGTTTCTATGCTGCCCCTGAACTAAACACACCTGTTAGCTCAGGTGAAGGTGGACCAGAACAAGAACACTCAGCAGTGCGTCTGTAGGTTCTCAGTATCCTGGTTATTCTTCTGATTTGGTTTTAGACAAGCTACTGTCTGATTTTGGACTAGTTTCTGTCTAGCTTTACAGAAGACTGCTATGAGGAGAGACGACGACAATATTTGGTCTCCACCTTAACTGAAGTATCAGCTGCAGGACTTTGGCTCTGATAGTGTGAATGTTTAAGTTCTCCAGATATCCTGTGCTCTGTCCACAGACTCAGAATATTCAGTGACCCGGTGCTGCGGTCCGGTCTAGAACCAGCTGGCCCCCCTCTGGTTTGCTGTGTTTGATGTTACATTACATGTCACTAACTCTGTGCTTGCTCTCTCTGTGGACGTCTCTGGATCTGGAGCTTCACGTCCCTGACCTCCAGCCACTGGCCTCACCGAGCCCCAGAATGCTTCATATTTATTGTTCTGTTGCTGCTCTCCATCTGCTATCCTGTTCTCCCCCCTCCCTCATCTCCACTCTCACCCAACTGGTCCAGGCAGATGGCCATCCTCACTGAGCCTGGTTCTGTCAGAGGTCCTCCCCTCTCTTGGGGGGTTTTGGTTCTTCCCACCGCTGCCAACCACCTGCTCAGAGGAAGTCCAGATGCTGCTCTGGATCGTTGGTTCTCTGTTTAACTCTGTGAGGTCTGTGCCTGACTGTGCTCAGGCTGTGAGATGACGTGTTGCAAACTGCACTACACAAATAAAACCGAATTGAACTGATATGAGGGTCAATGCAAGCCGACAGTAGCATGAACAGAACTGATCAGGCTGCACACATGGACAAAGCATGAACTGGCCTTTACAGCAGGTGAGACATAAACACAGCGGGCTCTGATCTGCACTGCGTATCCAGGCTCAGTACTTTCCATTATCTGTCCTTTCCTTCAACAAGCTGAGTGGAAGCAGATCATGTGGTCAGTGCTGTGATGATGATCTGCAGGTAAACGTGTACTGTTCTGACGGCGAGGCTAATGCCAGCAGGGCTAGCAGCAGCAGTCTGGGTCACTCATCGCTCCAGGCTAGTGGCTGTATATGTGAGTTTATTCAAGCACGGCCTACAAACAACCTTACTGTTGCTGTCCAGGTCAAAATACTGCCAAACTGTGCTGGTTGTAAGAGTCTCACTTTCACCTCCATGCTTGACAACATCTGCTGGAGGAGGGTGAGCTGCAACCAGCGTTGGTACCAACTACCAAGGTCCCAATGTTTAGCCACCGATCCCACTCAAACTTGATAAACACAGCTCCCAGATCTGTTCAACTTAAACCAGCTTGGTCTCTAAGAAGTTCATCCAGCTCATCTGGAACAGTAACTAAGCTTTCAAGGAAACACAGCTGTGTCCAGTTCTGGACAGTTACAAATACACCGAGACTGTAATTGGTAAAATGCTCACGGACCAAATCCACCAATCTAAACCAAAAAGGTTTTGTTGGCTAAATCATAGAGGGAGCCCTGGACTTTGTACACCTTCCATCGACCCCAACCTCCTCCTGCAGCTCAGAACCACAGAAGTACATTTGTTTAAAACCCGCTGACTGAACAGAATCTCACGGCACCAAAGCGGATCGGTCTGATAGTCTATCTGTTGATGCACAAGTTTCTTATTCATCAAAAGCCACGCGTGCTAAACGATATAATAATCTGTGTTGATGTGCAGTGAAGAGTGAGGCGCCAGGAAAAGGAGCTCCTAACAGACCGGACCGCACGGACGCAGCTCCCACAGCTGCAATAATGTAGGAAGTGTCTCAGAGAAGAAGGTAAACCTGAATAACACTTAAAATCTGTTTCTAACCATGTGATCGTGTGTTCTCACCCATTTATTACATGTTTGATCTGAGTGTGTGCCGCAGCGCCCCCTGCTGGGTTTGTCTCCATGTAAACAAGCCGCTCATAAACCAACACCAGGCCTGTTTCACACCAGTGCAGACGTGAGCAGCAGCTTCTCACATTTAAGCAACACAAGTTCACTACAGGTGCTGTTGTTCTGTAATTAATACAAGTGTAGGCTGGAAGTCCTCACAACGGTAAATATGAGACGATGACAAACGTCACAGTTTTTCTACATGTGGTGTTTTGTCCAAGGACAGTTTTCCAGTTTACTGTCATTGAGGAGGAAAGAAACCAGAAAATATTCATGTTTGATTGACTACAATCACAGAATCACAGACTGTTTTTATTAAAACAATGACTCAAACTGATAAACTGATCATTAAAATACTCAGCAGTTAACGTAATAGTTGGTCATTGCTACAGCTCTGACCAGAACGTGTGGAGATGTTTGTTTAAAGACTTATCATTTAGGGGTTCGTGGCTTCACTGTGACAAAAGCACAAATCTAAAATTGCAAAGAAAATGTTGCTTTTAACATTTAACTTAAGCAAGTTGGTGGAAGACAGAGAGAGAAAGCCAGTAGGAGCTGTAAACATGGAGAGAGAGAAATATCTCCAGGATGTGCAGCCTCCATGGTTCCAGTGCTGCTAGCATCTGTGGAACCTGGGAAACGTGTTGGTTTCAGCGTTGTACATTTCTGTAAAACAAATCAGTGAGTGGTTTCACATTTATTGTTTCCATGGCTCTGACTGAGTCCTACGGACAGCAGACAACTCTGGGTTCTCTCTCCTCCTCCATGTTCTGGTTCCTCAGAGCTGCAGGACTTTATGTTGCAGACCAACATGAACCTCAGTGAAGGACCACGAGACAGAAAACACCCAGAACCTGCTGGGAGTCCAAAGGGTGAACCGATAAGGACAATAATCGATGTGTCAGTGTTGTAAACATGTGTAGTGTCCCTTTAACTGACAGGAGTGATGAATGAGTGAGAGCTGGACCTCACGAGTGCAGCTAACGAAGCGGTGTGTGTCCTCTGTAAAGCGATCTGCTCCATGGTAAATGCCAGCGATAGTCTGCGGCGCTGTCACACATCACATCCTGCCTCCAGCAGCTCTATTGTTTCACATCTGCGTTCTATGAATAGAGTCTGAATCCTCTGAGCTCCATCAACAGTTGCTTCTACTCCGTCTACAGACTCCACCTTCATCAGACAAACACTGTGAAAACTTCCACCTCAGGTCCTGTGACCCATGTACAGTCTGTCAGAGAACACTAGAGCTGAGTTGTTTCACATCTTGTGCCTGAGAAATAAAACCATGCTGTCCACACTTTACCATACAGACAGACCCTGGGATCTCCAGGTTTACTGGACCTGCTGCTGAGCTGAGCTCTCACACATGAACCTGAAGAGTCACAACAGACTGGAGGAGTGTGACTGTTGTCAACAGACCTAAGCTGCAGCTCTACTTCAGACTACATCTCCTGTGGAACCTTAACTTCTTGTTTCTCTGTGTGTGTGACCTCTGACCTTCATTAGCGAGCACGATGAACTTGGACGGCTTGATGAGCTTCCCATCCAGCGTCCAGGACACGGTGGCGTCAGCAGCGGCGAGGCGACACTGCAGCTGCAGCCGCTGGCCATCCAGCACCGTCACATCGCTCAGCTTCTCAACAAACTCCGGCACCGGCCCTCCTCCTGCGGCGCTCTTCTTCTCGTTAATCCCTCCGTCCACGCAGTTGTTGTTGACCTTCCCGCTCTCCCCGTTCTTCTCTGGGCCCGCGGGCTTCTTCTTGTTGGCGAGGACGGAACGGAAGTCGGCGGCGTTCTTCCCAGGCGTGTCGGCGGGCTTGTTGCCGTTGCTGCCGGCGGCGCCCTTCTTCCCCAACACACTGCGGAAGTCGACCTGCGGCGAGGAGTTGGTCTTCTCCTCCGCCTTGGGTTTGACCCCCTTGAGGTTGGCCTTAAAATCCATTTGGTGCTGCTCGGCCTCCCTCGGCTCCTCTGCCTGATGGATGTTCTGAAAAGCTCGGCGTCCCAGCAGCGAGCGGAAGTCCAGCTGCTGCGCCTCCCTCTGTCGCAGCTCCTCCTCACCTCGCTCCCTGGTCTCCACACAGTGTCTGAGGAGGCCTCGAGGAGCAGCAGAGTCCTGGTCCTCCTCTTTCTTCTTCACCTGGTGCAGCTTCTCACAGGGCTCCTGGTCCTCCTCCTGCTGACTGAGCGCTCTGCTGCTGCCTCTCTGCTCCTCTCCTCCTCCTCCTGCTGCTCCTCCTCCTGCTGCTCCTCCTGCAGGGCTGGGCGTCCAGGCACAGACACAGATGGAGGAACAGAGAGAGAGAATGAAGAGAGCTGGTTAAACCCTGTGGACTCAGGCTCCGCCCCCTCACAGCTGGGGGAGGACCCCCACTCTAATTGCTCATGTTACATCATAAGTGACTCAACTGTCCTTATATGGGCACGAACAGACCGAACACACACACACACACACACACACACACTGATGTAAACAAAGTGAAACAAGAGAGTCAGGACACACTCATCCTCCTCCTCTTCGTCCTCCTCTTCGTCCCATAGTTCCCAGTATTCCCAGTTCCTTTTTCTTCTGTCTGTTCTTTTGTTGGTGGTATTTTACCAGTTAGCTCAAACGCTGGCTCTGATTGGTCAGTTTGATACGGACGGATTACAGAAGCTTTGATGGTGAATGGATGAACTGTGTTTAGCTGTAACTGGGCTGACAAGCGTTCTAGATACAAACATTTAATATTTTTCTATTAACATTAAATTCTTATTTATAATTATACTTTTGCATTATTTAAAGTTTTATATTTTCTCAGTGGTCAGCATTTTCAAAACATCTGCTATCCTTTATATTCGTTTTGCTGCTATTTGATTCGTTTTTTGATGCTTTATTCTTATTTTAGAAGTTTTTATCCTGTTTTGTCTTGTTTAAAATAAATATTTTCTACTCATTTTAATCTATAAATGTTTTTTTAATGTTACCTGTTCTTCAAACAGCAAAAATACATCTTTATATATATATATGTGTGTGTGTGTGTGTGTGTGTAAATGTATAAAATCAGCACCACCTGATGACTAGAACAACTGTGTGCACATAACTGTCTGCTTCAGCTCAACACTAACCAACAGCTAGAAAGAAACCAGGAAATATCTCTGCAATCAGAGAGCTTACACTGCTTTTATTTACTTTACTATTTACTACAATAGTGTTGACTGACTCAATAAACAGCTGCAGCTCTGGTTGATAAAGCCCAGGTAAAGCTGTGTGACATCAGGCCCCGCCCCCTGCTGCAGGTGGGTCATGTGACTCTCACCTGGTGTGGTGTCCTGCTGGTCCAGAGACAGACAGACGGGCCACAGCGCTGCATTCTCCAACACTGTTCCTGCAGAAACACTTGGTGTCAGCATCCCAGAGCTTCTACTCCACACATGACGTATAGAATCAGAACCTGGTCCCAGCCCACACTCACACTAAACACTGTGCACCCCTAGTTCACTTCACACAGCTGTTTCACACACATCTGCAGCAGCTACCAGCTGTTCTCTAATCTGCTGCCTTTGTTTGCATGTTTGGGGTCTTGTGTGAAAGCAAAGACTGCACTTTTCCACAGACTGGGACTCTCCTGTGATCTGAGGGTTTGCTGCTTCACTTCTGAAGACGTCTCTGTTTCAGGAGCTTTCTGTGGACAGCCCACCTTTGGCAGCTCCGGAGCACTGGACCAACTTTACTTCTTCAATCAATGTTCCTTCAATGACGCTTTGAGGGAAAATCTCTGGCTCCGGCTTGCTCTCACTGCTCTTCATATTGAGGTATTTCATTAGTTACTGTTTTAGATTCTGATGCTGTACGTTGGGCTGCAGGTGGATCTGTGGTTAGCACCGCCGCCTCACAGCGAGAAGGTCGCCGGTTCGCATCCCGGTGACCCTAACCCTAACCTCTCCCCGTGCAGCGTGGGTTCTCTCCGGGTTCTCTGGCTTCCTCCCACAGTCCAGAAACATGCTGAGGTTAATTGGTGATTGTAAATTGTCCGTAGGTGTGAATGTGAGTGTGCTTGGTTGTCTGTCTCTAAGTGTAGCCCTGTGATAGACTGGTTACCTGTCCAGGTGAACCTGCCTTCACCCTGAGTCAGCTGGGATAGGCTCCGCCCCCTAGTGAGGGTTCAGGTGATGAGATGATGGATGGATGCTGTAAGTTGGCGTCCTGTTTGTCCTGATTCTAGGAGTTTGTATTTACTTTGTTTCACTAACTGACCAACAGCTTGGTTCTGTCTCTTGTCTTGCTGTTGCCCGTCTTCATACGTACTGCACTCTGGCTCTCCGGCTGTTTTACATGGAGTCGTATGAATGAACTGGATGTAAGGTCCAGTTTGGACAGAACCGTTGTGGTTGCCCTCCTGACAGCCGCTACATCACACAGCATGCTAACTGTTCTTGGATGAAGGCAGTGATGTGACAAACAGGCTGCCTGCTGATAGATGATAGATTGTGATGGGGGAGGTGACTTTAATCCTCACTTCATCTCTGTGCTGTAGATCACGGAGGATTATTTGAGCTGATGTCTGTGAAACGACTGCGTCTATTCATAGGCTCAGTGTATACGGGGACTGCACACATGGATATGTAGGTCAGTGTGAGTGTTACCTCAGGCGGATCACGTAGTCTCCAGCATGGTGCTGCTTCACCCGTCTGATGGGAACAAACAGAGCAGGACTGAGTCACGGCTTCTCACTCTGGTGTTTGAGATCTGATTCTGATTCTGAGTGTTGACCTGATCAGCAGAGAGACCACGTCTTCCTTCCGCAGCACCTCGAAGTCTCCTCCGGAGGTCAGAGGTCGGCTCCGGTCGGCTCTGGTCCAGGTGTACTGAGGAAACGGGTCTCCGGCGATGGCGCAGGACAGGAGGACGTGATGACCCGTCACGGCGCTCAGCGCTTTGGGTTTTGTGATGAACCAGGGCTGGACGCCATCCTGAGGCTCTGCCACAAAACCACAACCAGAAACACAAACACACCAGTCAGAGCTCCCAGCACCAGCACAGTTCAGGGCTGGGCCGCAATCCAAGGGAAGACTGAAACAAAGATCATGGCTGAAGAAATACTCCAACCAACAGAATCCAGAAAACTACATACAGAAATGGGGAACAGACAGATTGGCAGGAAGTGGAAGAAAGGAGATGCCAAAGGAGTCAAAAGTCCAAAAGCACAAACCAGATGCAGAGCAGGACAGTCAGGCCAGTAACGGGCAGGTGAACATGAAGGAACTAACTGGACCAAGACGCAGGACGACGTGTACACGGAGGACTGACTGGACACGACTGAGGGCGGTCAAAGAGGAAGGAGGAAGTGAAAACACAAGCAGCACACGAGGGTGAAAGTGGAAATACAAAAACTCTCAGGTTTGAAAACCTTGAGATTATCAGAATTCAGTCAAAACATTTCACAGAACTTAGTTTTGGGTCGGTGACAACACAGCAGTCAACTCTGAACAGAATGCGAGGCAACGCAGCAACACCTACACCTGCTATCTGACATGACTGATGTGGTTTAACAGAAGGTGCTGACAAGAGACATGTGGACTTCTGTATGTCTGTACCCTCCACAGTGAGCCGGGCCTCGGTCCGGTCCTCCCCGTACTGGTTCCAGGCCTGGCAGCTGTAGGTGCCGGTGTCCTCTGGGAAAACCTCCTGGATCAGCATAGTGCAGCAGCCCTCCTCCCTCAGGAGCTGGAAGTCCTCTGACTCCTTCACCTCCTGCCCATCATGAAGCCACACCACGTCCGGAGGGGGGTGACCTGAAGATCAGCAGGTTCATCAGTACATCTGACCAGAACCGCTTCATCAATACATCTGGATGATCAGCTTTACATTCAGCTTTAGCCCAGTTTGAATCAAAGCGTTTATCCAGTTTTAAACTTTGAAAGTTTGAATCAAAGTTTAATTTCAGCTCCATAGATCTGTGACACCTATTCTTGACATAGCTTAACATAAACTTGTTTAAATCCATCACTAACATCTCTAGCATCATGTCCTCTGTCTCCTTTATGACATTTACAGCCACAAACAAGCAACTGGTCAAATAAGAGTTCCTCTAGATCAAAGTTTGGCACGACGATGAGTAATTTCAGACCTAACTGTATGAATGTGTTCTTTAACGGAGCTGTTCCACTAAAAGCAGCACTCAGCCTGATGTGTGCATCAGAATAATAACAGAAGTCACGTGTTCTGTGTTTAAATAAAACTCCAGTGAAAACAGGAGATCCTCTCAGACTGCTGAGTGACAGCAGAGAGCAGCACATCTGATCCTCACAGCTTATATGGAGAAAACCCACTGTGGAAAATCATTATGTAACACACACACACACACACACACACACACACACACACACACACATAATATGGAGACTTCCACTATAGTTCACTTTTTTAATGAACTCAGAAGTAAAACCCAGTAAGTGCTGTCAGATCAGTGGAAGCACAACATGAACACACACACACACACACACACACACACACACACATTCTCAGAGGAAATGAAGAGGCAGGACCAGTTCAGAGTAAATCTGTCCTCATCCCATCTCCACCATCTCCCCTGAGATCAGACAGGAAATACCACAGCTAACACACACACACACACACAGACACACACACACACACAGACAGACACACACAGACACACACACACACACACACAGACACTCGGTGAGGTCGTACCGCTCAGCTCCACCGTCATGGCGACTCTGCTGCCGTCCATCACCTTCAGGTCGGTGAGGCCTCTGATGAATCGAGGAGCCTCACACAGAGCTGTGACCTCTGACCTGCCACCCTGCCGTCTGCCTGCAGAAACACATGAAGAAGAGCTCTGAGCTCCGTCGCTGTTTTCAGCTCCTGTGTTTGTCAGACAACGTTATAAAGTCAGTGTGTAACAGGGCTGGACCCGAATAGCCGACTAGCCGACTATTCGTTCGCTGTGCTGGAATCGGGCTATCAAACTTGATCTCCGAATGTCCCGCCGCCGCGGAAACGGACCCGTCACCGCTAACCTAAACACAGAAACTGGTCTGTGTAGCCGAATGCGGCCTGTGCGTCACGCCATGCTCACTCCCTGGTTCTGCTGCCTGACAACAGAACCATCTGGAGATGTTCAGCTGCATTAAAATGTAGATGATCTGAGCCCAGCAGCTCCATGAAGAGCAGCACATTCACCAGAATCCACCAGGGAGAGCACAGAAACCCGCTGGCAGCGCTGCACATGGTTTGCTCGTCTTGTTGACCAGTTTACAGCTTTCCCACAGTCTTTGAACACACCAACGCAGTTCGTGAGCTTCACTCCACATCTCATTAAACCTTCTACACAAAGACAGGGTTCACACCAGAACCTTCCTCCTCCTGGTTCTGACCCTGTAGAACCAGAACCTTCCTCCTCCTGGTTCTGACCCAGTAGAACCAGACCCTTCCTCCTCACTGGTTCTGACCCTGTAGAACCAGAACCTTCCTCCTCCTGGTTCTGATCTGCCACCAGTTTCCAGGTGAACTGCAGCCAGTTTTCTACATCTGATGAGCAGAGCAGAGAGGAAACATCTGGAGCATGGAGATGGTTCAACATCTGCAG